CATGTACATGTACTTACATGTACATGTACATGTACATGTATGTATGCTGTATAAAAAGTTTGAGTCAATTCCAATCAAATTTAGATTTTTTACAAATTTCTAAAGTTGCTCCAGATGCTGATCAAGCATGCTGTTAAACTACAGTAGAGCAATAATCTTTATTCCTTTTTAATTACTTAAAACAAAAACACCAGTATACTCACTTTGCTGGTTGAGAATCCTTCTGCTTCATTTCTTCTTTGTTCTTCTACTTTGAAACTAAAGGATCTCCGTCTCCCTCCAGTGCCTGCCGACATGACAAATGGGGACCTCTTGTTGCTGAAACTCCTCCTTTCCCCTGGGGGACTCTCAGACCCATTATTATCTGATTTTGAAAATTGTCTTGGTTTAGTGAACCTTGTGTGCGTGTGTGTGTGTGTGAGAGAGAGAGAGTGGGAGAGAGAAGAGGGAAGAAGAGAAGAAGTGTATAAAACAATGGGAGAGAAAAATCATCAATTAATGTACACATGTACATGTACACAATGTGCATTATACATGTACATGTACATGTACGCATGTAATATTGTACATGTACATGTATAAGTTATTCTATACATTAGTCTCTACATGATATGCATGTATTACCCAATGTCTATCCCTGGGTTGGTGTGTGGTGAGCGTGTACGGTACTTGATGCCATAAAACACTGTCTCTCTCACTATCACACCTACTCCTGGCTCATGTATTGGTCTGAGTTTAATGCTACTACAGTATTCACTAGACAATGGGATCATCTTATTACATTTCATACAAGCATGGAGGCATAGCTTGTTCAGAATATGATTATTAGCAGTCTAAGTGTATTTTTAATTTATTATAATCACTTATAGTCTGTGGTTTTAAAGCATGTTTTAAATATACTGTGCTTTACATTCAAATAAAATGTATGGTAAAAGGCTATTAGCCACTAAGCCACTATACAGCAATGTCACTCCACATACTGTACATGTACATGTACATGCATAATTATTACTGTAGAAGTGGAATATTTTACTGCTTTTATCATTTAATTTTTTACGTGTCTTTAATTTTACGGCTTACATGCGAGTTACTACAAATAATATAACTAACAAAAAATTAACAGGTTTTTACTTCTACTTTTTTCTTTTTTTTGTACAATTAAAGTCACCTTAAAATATCCCACTTTTACAGTTGTCTACAGTGTGTACTGTGGTATAATACATGTATGTATACCCTACTCTCACTCCACTGTGTATTAATTATTAGTACATGTAGCAGCCAAAGATCATATTCTGAACTAGGCTTAGCTATTGCCCCTACCTCTCCAGTTCTTTCTGTTTTGCTTCCACTTGTTCTCTCAGTTGTCTAGCTAGATCAGCTCTTGCTCTAGAGGCTGTGGTCTGGGTACAGAGTGAGGTGTTCTGGTTAAAGTATTTCTGATATTTCTCCTCGTTCCCATCTCGTGGGTATATCCTCCTATAGCCTCCACAGTGAGTCTCTTCATATTTTTCAAACTGAGCTTCATATTTCAGTCTAATGTCTCTCTCTTGGCTAGAGGAGGGAAGAGCAAGAAAGATAAAAAGTAGATTAATTTTTGAGGGTAAATTTAGTAAAAATTTGGGATAACTTAATCACCTTCCTTCAAAGGTACATTGTACATGTATACCGTATACTGTATACATGTACATGTACATGTACCTCAAAATTTTTGTTAATCAAAAATTTTGTCAAAATTTTATAATTCTTGTTAAAATTAATTTTTGTCAATAAATTTTTTTTCATAATTAATCTAAACCCGTATACTAACCACTTGTAATTTTGTCGGTTAAAAATTTTTGTCAGGCAAAAATTATTAAGAAATTTGACAAATTTTGGATCTATACAGTACTACATGTACATTCATACCTAATTAAATCTAACCATGCCCTTTGCCTATGATTATGCACTATATACAATTTATATGCACTACTAACTACATTTTTTCTCACTCTAACTCCCTCTCTCTCTCTCTCCTTCATTTCTCTATCCAGTACCTTGAGTCCTTAGATCTTGCCTTCTGTAACAGCCTATCCCTTGCTCTCTGTTTCTCCTCCTCCAGACATCTCTTCCTATCATTAGCAAAGAGGTCAATGAGATCCAGTGTATCATATATCAAAGCCTCCTTCACTTCCTTATCCAGTGGGGAGTCAGTGTGGAAACTGGGGGACCTGTTCACTTCCATCAGCCAGGGCTTGAGTTTCCGGTCTAGGAGAATGTCAAAGCCGAGTATCTCAAAGCAGGCGCTGCCCCTCGTGTGATTAGGGAATGAGGACCAATAGTTGTGGCAGACAACTGGATGAGCTGATATTAGTGTTTTAATGATGACATCCTAAGGAGGAGGAGAGAAGGAAAATGAAGATTAAAAGTTAGGGAGACAAAGAGGGAATCTAATGCATGTACATGTACAATAGACCACAGCAATGGGCTATTGGTTAAAAGCTCCTACTGATACATGTACACTGTACATGTACATGTAAGTGTACATGGCATTTAGAGCAATTTTAAAAATTCAAAAAAAATCCAAATTTGATTGGAAACAACTCCAAGTTGGTACAGAACAAAAAATTATAAAAATAAAGAATTCTCTCCTAGCCATTTTTGATGAAATTTGGCCAGTGACCAAAGGCTATAGCCTTGGGTTGTTGGCTGGATTTTGGAGCAACTTTAAAAATTCATAAAAAATCCAAATTTGATCGGAATCAACTCAAAGCTGATACACAGCATAAGGACATGTATACACACATGTATGTATTAGAAAAAATTATAAAAATAAAAAATTTTCTCCTAGCCATTTTTGATGAAATTTGGCCTGTGAGCAAAGGCTATATATAGCCTTGGGTCGTTGGCCCGATTTTGGAGCAACTTTAAAAATTAGTAAAAAACAATTTTCATCAGAATCAACTTAAACTTTCTACATAATAAGTACATGTACATATATACATGTATGTATCAGAAAATGTAATAAAAATGTAGAATGCTCTCTTTTTCAATTTTTGCAAAATTTGGCC